AGAATGGTGATTGATTTCAGGATCTCCTATTGGCGAATTGGGCAAAAGGCTTGGCCATTCCTTTCGCAGGTTCCCCCTAAAAACAACAACTACAAAAACAGCCAAAAAAGATCGGGGACCTTTGGCCTTCCCCGGTGCCCCGGTTCACTCTGCCAGTGCTAGCCCGGTGGCCTCTTCCGGGCTTTCGTGGGGGGACCCATTTGGGCCCAACCTCGCCACCTCTGCAAAGTGCTCCTCCGCCCGGGGGCGGAAGGCGTGGAGAAGCACAGAGCCGGCGACACTCACATTGATGGAATCAATCGCCGGGTTCGGCAAGGGGATAGAAACAACCTTGTGGGGAACGGGCCAATCCCCGCTGAGACTCCGGAGGCCCTGCGATTCAGAGCCCAAAACCAACAAAGGGCCATAACAAGGGCGGGTCTCGGCGCCATCGCCTCCCTCTTCTTGCCCCCTCCTTGCCGCATTCGACTCATGCAAGCGCCTGGCGACGGCAAACGCCGGCTCCGCCTCCTGAGAAGGCACTGCCAAAAGCGGCAACAACCGATGCTCCAGAGCAATGCTACTCAGTACAGAAATGGATGCATTTCCCTGTGTTTCAAACAGTTTAATTTTAGGAGAGAACACTGCGCCCCCACTTGCACGTAAAACCTTTTCATTAAACAAATCGACACAGTCGCAAAGAAGGACGCTATCAAAACCCATGTCGACTGCAGCCCTCAGAAGCACACCAACATTGCTAGGAATTCGTAGGCCCACCAAAGCCAACATGGAGGCCAAACGGACTGGTTTCTTTTCGCCTAGAAATGCCTCTAGCGTCGGAGAAGGGGGTGTGGGGAATTCTGCCGCATAGCCATCTCCCATCTCAGCGCTGAGGAGCTGCCTGTTGATGTCCACCGGGGGGCACCGAACGATGCATGTCGGAAGTTCATCCTCCACACACCAATCGGGAATGGTTGGTTCCGTGTCTGGAACATAAACCACGTTGGGCTGAATCTTGTAGTCACGCCAAACGCGCCTAATGGCACCGGCGCCGCCAATCACACATGCCCCATGGGAATGCCGAATGTGCCGGTTTCCGCGAATCAATTTGGTTGAATTCCAAAGCTGCCTCCCGCTAACGGACAAACTGGGAGTCAACTGAGCAGCCTCGTCCAGACTTTGGAGGACAATTGGCCGCCCCTCACTTCTCTTTTCCCCCTTTTCACGGAGCACCTCTCTGAATGTGAGGGGGTTTGCTTCGCGAAGTGTTCTCGGATGAACCGTGCGACAGCGCCGCAACAACTTTGCAACACGAAGCATTCTCCCTCCAAAAGTGCAAATGCATAACAAAAGGCAACAGAAGAGAATAAACACTTATATTGAAATATATATAATAAATAAATAACAACAATAAATATATATATATACGCGCGTGGAGTACAATAATAAAAAAAAAGGGAGGGGGGGGCGAGGGGAACTGGAAGCAATGGCAACGATTGGCAGTGTGGTTGTGCAAAAGCCCACGCATTTAGGATGCGTCTCGCCGCAAAAATGCAAGGAGCATATACCCACACAGAGGGGGAGAAAGTGAGAGAGAGTGTGTGCGTGCGTGTGTGGAAAGGGGGCCATGCCCGACGCGATATTCTCCCCTCGTCTGGGCAGATTCCACTCCAACCTCACCGAAAGTTGGGATGCGTGCGATAGCCGCGGTTCCACCCCCCCGTGGCAGTCCCGGCGCGAGAGATACGCACATCTTCCATACCATCGCTCTCGCGGTCCAGTGCCTCTCGTAGTTCTCGTGGGAGTACATCGTGGGTGAAATTGTCCCACTCACTCTCTTTGCCTGATGCTATATTTTCTTGGCGTTCCTCAAGTCTCGATCGCCGCCGTTGCATTCGCCTTTTCCTCTCTTGACCCTCTTGTATGACTTGATGCAGCGTTAAATCCTGCCGAAACTCCTTCTTTTCACGACTCTTCCTTGTGACGAGGTAGTCCGCCCGGTGGTGCCACTGAACGTAAGTCTCTTGCAGGAACTTTTGCGTCCTTCGTTGGTCATCGGTCAAGAGCCAACAAAAATCCTCCAAGGCACGCTTTTCCACACGGTGATGCAACTCGGTACTCCAGGCAATGCCTGATGAACTTGTTCTGACCGATTGATTCCGCAAACCGCAGCGAAGGCGTTCTTGGTCATTCATGTAACACGCTAGAAGTTCGGCAGTTGGAGTTGGTGGCAGCATAAAATACAGCTCAGCAAAGAACCACTCAAGACGTGGTATACAATCAATCTCCTCTGCGAGAGCCATAACTTGCCCTAAAAAAGTGTACTGTGCGGCGTGATTCATGAACGAAAACAATTTGGCCACACGCAGCTCCTCATGTTCCGCAACAGTGGACTGGGGAACAAGAAACCACCCGGATGGAGCATGTTTCCAGGTTGAGGGCACGAGTGCCGCCACCGATGTCGAAGAGGCAAGGACCAGAGTCCGCTGAAGCATACGAGACTACTTTTTAACTAGGAAATACTGGGGACTTCCGTTTTCCTTTTCCTTCCCGTTTACCAGACGACACCGGGGCCTACTGGGTTCATCCGCATAGGAGGAAGCCGCGGCACATGACACAAAAAAAAATATATATATAAACAACAAGAAAGAGAACCAAAGCGTACCACTTGACATTGCCAATTTCATCCATGCACATCAAAGACAATATTCACCGTTAAGGGCAAAACGACAACGCAAAAAAAAAAACATCATCAATGCAATTTCATGTTTTACAGCAACCAGAACACTTCAACAAGAGACGTGCCTCAACAAAGGTGCGATCCCATTCTCCAGCAGAGGAGAAAACAACACCAACCCAACATCATTACCCACAACGTCACAATGGTGAGGCTATACACGTTGGACAAATGCCTATACAATCTCGAACGTACGACTCGCACGAGCCACAGCGTTCAGAGCGGCAAAAGCTACACCGCCACATACCTTCACCATCACCGTTCATTCCTCTCACACAACAAAGCGAACAATAACCATCAGATGCGCACTCTCCTTCCTTCTCTTTTACCCTCTCTAAAGAGTCTTCGCACTTTTCCGAGGGGGCACACAGCTCATTATGCGCGATAAAGGTTGTATGTATAAGCGGCGCACTGCAGAGAAGCAACTTGCAGAGGGGACAGGTGGAGGGAATAGACGTCTGCATCAGCGCGCACTGAGGGCATGCAATATACCGCGGCCCCTCTCCTCCACCCTCACCGTCTTGCTCAACGTACACAGGGAATCCAACTTGAATCATTGACCTCATTCCCTCAGAACCAACACCACTCACCTTCCCAGGGGCAGCAAGACGCCGCAAGACTTCAGTCAAATGGTCATAGTTCATGGGGGTGTACAATACCCCACCGGTGGCCGCCGCCGTTTCCTCAAAGACATGGACGGCGCCACAAAACGAGATGACATCTACACGCACATGAAGTCGGGCCACCATCTTTACAACAGCAAACACATCATGTGGATCAATGAGTGTGACAGAAGAGGAGACAAGAAGAATGCGTAGTCTGGTCGTGGATTCCTCCCTTGCCTCTTTATTAGTAGCACCATTGACGCCCTCCTGTCGCGCGCGCTTCGCAATACGCCTCAGGTCCACAAGCTCTGACAAGGACAGTCGCAGTCCATTTTCCAACGACATAGCCCCCGAGCCACCAAAGAGAAAATACTTCACTTCCAACGCCTGAATTATCTCGGAAGCATTAGTGGTGCACGGGTTAAGGCAGTACGCCACACCATCCCGCATCGCCACCACACCGAGGGAAGCGAGGGGATTGGCGTCGAGGTATGCATGGACGAAAGCATTGAGTTGAGGCCGCAGTGCAAGTAGTCGTGTGGGGAGGTAGTCCTCGGAGCTGTTCACCGCCTCACTGCCGTCCAGGAGCAGGATGGTCTTTTGCATCACGTGAGAGACCTGGTGGCTGCACTACACTACTGCAGGTGAATGACAAAACCACAAAAAATTAACCAAACAAACAACGAAATAAATAAAGACAAGCAGCGACAATTCCAAGCCATAGTGCTGCATCAATGATGAAGTCGTCTTCTTCGCTTCTCTCGCTCGCCTTCCCATACCGCCCAGGGAATGCCAACAACCGAAAACGCAACAGAAGCAGCCAACAACGTGCGATACACGCGAGAGTCTACTCTCAACACTCGCCTCCCATTCATCTCGCCAAGTCCAATAGGATTTTCTTTTTCATTTTTTTTTTTCTTGTTGGGGGCCTCGGCTCAAACCGTCATCCTCTTTCGTTTCCTTCCCCACTCCTCCTCATTCACCCATCCTTCTTCCTCTGGCAATAGTGACAGTGGCACACAAAGCCGCGCCGTTCGAGTTCCCTGGACCGCTCCTCATAGGGGAGATGCTTCAGCTGCGGGTAGTAGTTGATCGAAAGCTCCTCCCCCCGCGCAACATCGCGTGTTGTTTTCAACGCCCCCGATATTATATCCTCTGCAACATTTGCGTCACACGAATGATTTAACATGGAGCGGGCGAGGTGCAGCTCTACACATGTGTCGCGGTGAAAACAGTTAGCCGTCACGCGTGCCAACGTGCCAACCATTTCCTCATATGTGATGGAAGTGGCGGTGTGACACGCCCGAGTGAAACGTTGGTAAATCTCCAGAAAAGGCCCACATAACACCTTTGGGCTAAATGGCAAGCGACCAGAGAGTATCCGCATCTCACTCAAGGCTGATGGAATCATTTGCTGCTGGAGAGAGACGGCCAGGACACGCAACATCAAAAGCTGTGCGGCTGCCGCGTTCTTTTCGGTACTCGTTTCAGCACCCTTCATTTGTGTGTAGATGTCGAGTTCAATGGCCTGAAAACCCTCCAGACAGCAGGTGCGGGCGTGGTAGAGCGAGAGGGCCATCGTCCTGCAGTCCCTACTACAGTACTCCTCGTGACACTTGGGATTGGCACAGGTGAAGAAGCGCTCCGGTAGCGGTTTTGCACAAAGTGCGCAGAGACTATCATCTGTCGGGTACCGTAGCCACGGGGCAGCGCTGCGCACCACCACAGTCCCATGCGGCATATTCTCTTTTGCCACAACCCCACGACCAACCGTCGTGTCGATATGCCTCAATTCACAGTCCTCTTGAAGGTATGGATACACGTACAGATGAAGGTGTGAGTCATCGCAAGGGTACGTACCAACTTGGTGGTCAGGAAAATGGGCGAGCGCATCATAGCAGCGACGCTGGTGCCGACCCGACAGCTGTAGCACCTGCGCCGCGGTGCTGTAGTCGGCAAGAGCAAAGTACGGCTGCCCCAACGCGTAGTAGGCGTTGCCGCGGAAGAGGAAGGCCTCGGGCGGGCTCCGCGCACCCAATGCGTCAATCACGTTATGGCAGTGGCGCTTAAGTGCGATAGCGCTCGCGGTGGATCCCTTCTTCATCCGCCGCTTCCTCCGAGATGGGGGTGGAGGAAGACCGCGGGGAAGAAAAAAAGAACTGACAACGCCACATAACAAATCAAAAGAGAGAGAGAGAGAGAGAGAGAGGGAGAGAGTACACTAATAATGACTCTCCTCAATGTCAATAATATACGGACCTCCCACACCTGTCTGTACTCCAGCTTTTTTTTTCTTTCGTATTGTTTTCCCTCTTCTCACAGACGCCTCCTAGACGCAGCAGCAACGCCATCAAATGCATACAGGCATGTGTCGTGGGTGTGTGCATACTTACCACCACACAAGTGTCTGACTCCTCAGCTTCGCTCGCTCTCCTTCCGCCCAGTTGCGTTGGCGCAACATCAGCGCCTCGTAGCGCCGCAGCTCCCTGTTCGTCGCCTCTAGCCGTGCCGTGTTGAGCGCCACGAGGCGGCTAAGGACGGTTCCCACACAGAGACCCAAGAAACCACCAACAAATGCACCTGACACACCAAGACGGAGGGCGAGATTCGTGTCACCAAGGATCCACCACGGCAGGATGCCCACCGTTCCGCCTGACATGGAAAGGCCAACAACATAATTCGACGTGCTGCGCTGCTGCGCATCATGCGGCGGGAGAACTCTGTACTTCACCACCGTGGCCAACCTGTCGCCCATACAGAACGCTGCAGAGAAGAGAGCACAGTTGCCACCCCACTTCACCACATTGGCGAACACAGCCATATTCAAAACCGATAGAATACCCACACCAGAGGCCTTCAGGAATTGGACGTCCACATTTATTGCCTGAAAACCTTTCAGCGCGCCCTGTACAATGCCCATGGCAATGCCACACTTTGTGCTGAACCAAATCAAGGAAAGCGAAGAGTCCAAAAAGGGATCTAAGCCGTAGAAATCTACTTGGGGCCGGTACTCATTTGCCACTTTTGCGATGGGTCTCCCCGATTCTATGGACTCGATGAGCACCTTCCACGGAGTGGTCAAGCCCAGTTTGCGAACCGCCTTCTGCTCCTCGGCATCCTCGGTGGCGGTCCTACTGCTGCTGCTGCTGCTGCTGCTGCTGCTATTGTTCCGCTCCAGCTGCTGGTAATAAGTCTCCACCTTCTGCCGCGAAAATTCCTCATCTAGTGGTTCCNACCTTCCACGGAGTGGTCAAGCCCAGTTTGCGAACCGCCTTCTGCTCCTCGGCATCCTCGGTGGCGGTCCTACTGCTGCTGCTGCTGCTATTGTTCCGCTCCAGCTGCTGGTAATAAGTCTCCACCTTCTGCCGCGAAAATTCCTCATCTAGTGGTTCCGCCAAACCCAACTTGCGACGCACCCACGAGATGGAACCAATGACATCATGTGTCGCCTCCATGCGCTTTCGCCTTTTCACCTCTTGGATGGCTTCTCCAACGTCGAGCTCTCGCTTGTACTTTGCTTGCCAATAGTTGGGCGCACGAATTTCCTCATCGCTAAGTGGTGTGCCATCAATAGTAACATTCTTGTCCTCCAGCCACTGCGGTGGGCGAGAGCGGAGATCAGGCCCGACCATCGAGACACCGGAGGAATCCTGCCGCACGCCCTCATCGCGTACGTAACGCCAAACATACGTCCAAAGGTCCGCCGGGTTGAAGTATACCTCGCCACCGCCAGCGCTACTATACTCTGTGCCTTTCCCCTTTGGGCGATAGGAGCTGCCAAAGAATGCATTCGACGTTACATCGGCGGGTGACTTTGGCTTTTCGTCTTCCATGTTGAATAGCAGAATAAAGGAAGAAAGGGGATAGGGGACCTAAGGTTTATCACACCACTGTGTGGTGTGTGTGTGTGTGTGTGTGTGTTCCCGCCCCTTCACCCCTACGTCTCTGCAGCAGATCCACCCGTTTAACGGTTGGTTAGGAAAGCGAGTGGGTCAAGAAGGAAAGAATCAGCAGAAGAAGTAGAGAACAGCAAAAACAAAAAAAATCAATGAAGAGTTTCTTTATCCAAGAGCCAATCAGAACAATTACTGCAGAGTCATGCTGTACATGACTTGGAAGAACATCACACGATCAGCGTCTTGACTTCATTTGTGACTGTAACTCCGCATTGATCAAATAACAGGCATGGTACGCACACACACACACACACAGAGAGAGAGGGTGGTAAAACGAGAGAGATAGAGTGCGCGTGTGTGATAGAAGGATAAATATATATTCAATCAGTGTACAAACCCTGCATCCACCGCCGCGCCTTCTCCCTGAACCGCACTGGGTCGTCTTTCATCATCTGTGCCGCCTGCTTCGATGTACCGTGTAGCGGGTCGTCAGGATTTGGGTCTTGAAACAGCATCTCAATCATAATAATAATATCTCTCAAGCTGAGCGTCGGTTTCCACTCCGTCTGAAAGCTCAGACACACACTCCAGGATACCTTGACGACGCCCTTCGCCCCTCCCTCGTCTTCTGTGAACTCATCACCTTCGATGTTTGGGTGCCAGATGCGATGGGGACCCAAATACCGCACCTTTGGCCCCTCGTACGGATAGTCGTCGCGGAACTCCAACAGGAAATCGAACAGGCCGCCATGCCATATGGAAGGGTATGGAGGCCTGACGGTAACCTTCATCCGCAGCATGTTCTGTGGGTCGGGTATCTCCACCTTGCTTCGGATACCGTCTAAGTTGTCCAGATCCTTCTTGATGCGCAGAATTGCAACGGGCTCGTTGCTCGTCGTGGAGGGGCCGCCTCCGCCGTTACTGTGACCAACACCGTTGGCTTCACGTGCCTCCGCCTGCTGCTTCTTGATGCGTGAGAGCATCTCGCTCCCTCGTTTCCACTACGTGTGCGTGTGTGTGACTGTTTGCGGAAATCCCCTTTCCCACACTTCGCGTGCACCTTCCCCTCGAAGAAGGAAGGAAGTATCTGTCAACAGTACAGACATGAGTGCGCCCAGCCCACAACACGCCAACGAAAACAAACAAACAAACAAGCAAAGGGAAGTCTATAAGAAGAAACTCAAGCACCAGAGAAACACGACATATCCACGTCAAAACAGTCTTACGCTCCAGCGCGCAGACGACACCCGTTCCCCAATCTTGCTCTTCCCACACAGATACAACACATCGAAAGCAAGAGCGTACGGTGAACATTAAGAAACAAAAACAAGAGCGAGAGGAAGTAACAAACAGAAAAACACACACACGAGGTACAGGGCAGCGCCAACATAAGTAGAGTACAAAAAAAGGATTCCCAACACCTTCCATCCACTTCTCATCCTTTCCAAAATTATTACCCTCTGTCTCTCTCTCTCTCGCCCCTCAACGCAAGGCAAGCTCGTCACGCAAGCCAATGTCTACCTCCGCAGCGGCGTTGCCCCGACCCGACTGCTGCTTCTGGTGAGAGTTCCCGTCGCAGTCGCCGCGTCTCCCTCGCTCGTCACGTGGGGGAAAGCAGCGCCAAAACCTAATTGTCTCATCCCCTGCGGCGGACACCACCACCTCTCCGTCCGTCGACATGCACATGTGCAGCACGCGCGAGGTGTGGCCTGTCAGATCAGCCACTCGTCGGAGTGTCGGGTACTTCCAGATGGTCAGCCGGTTGTGCGAGAAGCCGTGGGAGCTGATAAGCTCCGTGCCGCTGAGGTTCCACAACACCCCGCACACTTGGCTTTCGGCATTGAGGTGATTAATACACTCACCGGTCGAAGTATTCCAGAAGCGTAGCATCTTGTCCTCCGAGCCACCCCCGCTTGCAAGAAGATTGTGCTGAACCGGGTTCCATGCTATCGCCTTTACGGCAGCCGTGTGCTTGTTGAGACGCAGTACAGGCTGGGTTCTCGTAGAGAAGTTGCGGCTGTCCCAGAGAAGCAGCTGATTGTCGTTGCCTCCGCTGGCGATGCGCACCCCATCAGGGGACCATTGCAGCCCACAAACGCTCTGTTGGTGGCTGCGTAGCGTCCATGAACCGAGGGGATCGCGGAGGTCGTTGATGCGGATTGTGGCATCTTTGCTGCCAGTGGCAAGAACATTTCCGTTCCACGAGAGAGCACCGACACGGTCGACGTGTTGGTACAGGCACTTCGTTATGCGCTGCGATTCTACATCCCAAATCTCAACTGAACCATCATCCGTACCCAAAGCCAATCGCTCGCCATCCTCGCTCCAACTTACGCCGCAGATGATGCCATTAGGTGGCCTCTGGCACGGGAGCTGTGTTATACTGCATGTCTTCGCATCCCATAGATACACCGCGCCTTGCAGGCCGACAGCAAGGATGTCCTTCGCGGACCAGTCCATTAATTGTAGATAGAAGTCATCTATCATATCGGCAGCGTCAAGAATGCGCTCTGGGGCCCGTGCAATGACACGAAACGTTCTTGAGCGAAAGTTTCGTGCCCGGTTTTCTTCAAACACGACCCCTAACGAATTACGGTAACGCTCCTCCTCAGACTCTGATACATTGCACTGCTGCAGGACTTGACTGTGAATACCCAAAACAGTAGACTGCGTGTCTGGAAAAAGTGTGCGTGCAAGCTTATTGGTGTAGGGCTCTGTCCCCAGCGCTGTCGTGTGCGAAGGGCTGCTTTCCATGGCGTACTTCCGCACCTTGCCGGTGCTCCCTCCAACAACACCTATACCACCACCAGCAACACCCGCGCCGCGGTTCGGTGACGCCATGAGCGGCATTGAGCCTCCCCGCCGCTCGGGGCTCGCCTGCAGCGGGACAACGTTCTCCTTTGTTGTAAGGAAGAAGTGTGACATGGAGTTGTCCTGCGAGCGGCGGTCGGAGATGAAGCGGTCCGGTGTAGCGATGGGGGTGCGCATCGGCGGCGACGTCGCATCAGTGTTCAGCCACGGCGAGGACCGCATCGGGCTGCTGAAGGCGGTGTCGAGATCCATGCGCGTGCAGCAGCGTGGGGGCGGAAACACTCCTTTCTCTTTCGAGTGGGGAACGCGATACGTGAAATATTCGTTTACTCTTCTCTTTCTCAGTCTACTTCTTCTTCTAACGTGTTGTACAATCACTCTCGCACCTTGAGAGTTCTTCTTCCCTTTTCCTTTTGGTTTTGATCAAAAAAAAAAAACTACTTCGCTCTTGTTGTCTTTGAACTTTTTTTGTTTTGTTTTTTTCTCCCCCTCCTCTTTGTTTCCTCTTCACGTCCGCGCCAATTTGGCCGGCGAGCACAACGGATGTGAGTGAATGTGTGTGTAGCTGAAAAGCCTAATCACTACGAGCCAAAGCAACAAAAAAAAAACTCGCACGTCCTACAGCAGGAGAATGAGAAAAGAACACCGAGAGGAACGTCAATGTAATGGGGAAGGGCAGCGCAACAGAGTTATTCGAGATGAGGCCCCGCCAGGGCCACACAGGTGGGTGGAGAGCCGCATGCGGACCTCCATATCCCCCAACACCGCTCATCTTCCGCCGCCCTGTTGCAGGGGCCACGCAGCGCCATTAGTCAGCGCCGCCATGCATTTGACACGGGCCGCGGCGAAGCACGTCCAAGCACCCGCGGGCCCACCACTTCATTTGCGCCACAACCTCCACAGCGTGCAGGAAGTCAACCAGCGGCATGAGCGCAAACTCCTCAAAAAACTCACCAAGTGACAGAAACTGTGTGCACTCTGTACGGTTGCCCCTACCGCTTTGTTGCTCGTCCTCATAGAGACGCACGAGAGAAGCGGCGGCGGCCACGCCAATGGCGTCAAAAGAGTCCACTATGCACTCAATTGCCATCTGAGACACCGTAATAGTGTCACACGACACCAGACTCTGAAGCACAGAGCGCACAAAATCTATATCTCCTTCATCCATGTGGGTGGGGCTGCCCCGGTTAGGCAAGTCACTTGGTGGTGGTGGTGGTGCGCCTCTGGCCGCAATGACCACCGCAACCTCGGCAGGTGAGGCCGCCGCCGCCGCCGCCGCCGCCACCACACAAAACTCTCTGCTCTTCTTTGATGGCGACCCAGAACTTCCTGAGGGAAGCACTACTGCCTGCGCTGCGCGGAAGAGCTGCAGGACACAGTGGCGAAAAAAGCGCAGAGGATGCGTGGCCGCGTCAGCGGGGTCACAGCGTGCCACTTTTTGACTCATGGCATCCACAATCACCGATGCGTACCGATCTGCGCACGTTGCAAGCAGGTTTCGCTTCTGGAGTGGCACGTCGAGTGTGTCCAAAATGTACCGGCAATTCACCTCGATAAGTGGAACGGCAGTGGCATGTAGGCGTCTGCAGACGTTTCTGCACACCAGCAGCCCCTCCAGCGTCACGTAGCGCAGCACGATATCCCACGGGATGTCTCGTGCAGATGCTGCCACTCCACACATGCGCTGGACTCTGGATGGTGACGTTGCCCATGAGGGCACTACAGAGCGGCGTGTTGCAGCCTCCAGGGGAGCACAGGAAAACGCAAGAGCCTCCGTCTGCGGCATCAGTAACGCGGAGAACGAGGAGGGAGGGGGGAATGTGCTTGTAGAAGCACCAGCGGCGGCCACCAGCTCCATACTCTCTAGTCTCTCAACATTTCTCGCCACTGTTGTGACAGCGCGGCTACTATTGCACATCTCCCCAGCCGACTCACCACTTTCGTTTGCAGAGGTGGAGAGCCAATCTGTCACACGCTGCTGCTTCGGTTGTGCAGTTGAGACGGGCTGCTGCTGCTGATGTGGCCGCCGCCGGGGGGTTACTCGAGACAATGACGACCGCCCTACGGCCGGCGATGACGCATGACTTGACTTCTGCATGTAACACGTTGAACAGTACTCGTTGTTGTTCCACAAGGGAGTAAAAAGCTCACAAGACTTGCGCACACGACACGGCGACAAGGCACCGTCCGCGACATTCGATGATGGCGGCCGCCGGACACGCCCAGCCGGAGTTGCCGCCAATCGCGGCGTTGGCGGTATTGCCTCCGGCCGGTGGGCGTCCTTTGCTCGGTGGCAGCGGGCGCACACCGTGGGATTTCCCCACAACATGAAGAAGTCATGACATGCCTCCGCGCAGGCGTGATACTGTGCCCCCCGCTGTGGCTCCCACTGCTGCGGATCAGCGTAGTAGTACGGCAGCACCGGCGCACCACCCGTTCTTTCCTCTTGATCCTCTCCCTGTGGTGGATTGTGCGGCTGCACTCGTGGAGCTTGATGTGGCTTTGGCGGCGCCTGCTTCCACCGTAAACAGACCCCCTCGTTGGCCAGCGTCATGGCGCTAGCAAAGGCTTCCTGGCGGGTCGGGCTGAACGTGCTATGCTGTTCACGCACGCGGTGGCAATGAGAACATCGCTTCGGGTTTAACCACGATTCACGAAACAGACACTGTGCTGTTGGCGTTCCGAAGCGCTCCTTGACACTTTTCTCATTCACACAAAAAAGTGCCTCCTCTTCCTCCACCACCACCTGCTGCTGCTGCTGGGTCATTGCACAGCGGCCCATGGCCGCGACTGACACTGCTGTCGATGGGGGCAGTGCTTCGGCAAACACCACCCCTCTAGTTTTACTCTTTTTCTGCTTCTGCTGTTGCTCTTCGAGCTCCTCGTTGCCAACAGGACTGAGAAGGAATACAATGCGACTGCGAGTACCTTGCGGAATGCTCTCCAACAAATCAACCACATCTTGTTGAGGAGACAGCACCACGCCGTGGAGACTGAGCTGCAACGCAGCGCCCGCTACTGGCAGCTGCAGCTGCTTGCAGGCCACTGTCGCCACGCCGGCAGCCGACACGACGCCCCGGCCCTCGCGCATTCCCTCCGCTGGGACGGCGACAAAAACGGCATCTCGCCGCTCCTCTTCGCGCAGCCGCAGGCCCGGCGGCGGGTGCTCGCTGTAGACCACGCGCACCTCCTCCGTCACCATGCGTTGCCGCCTTCACGGCTGAAGCATCCCGTCCACACAACAACAAGACAGTGCGAGAGGGAAAGAAAGAAACTCCGAAGACGAAATCCCACACACAGAGAGACACATATGCACATACGCATGGAAGCACAATGCCATCTTCTCAATTGCTCCTGGCAACTAAACACACAGACATCGCATTTGTCACAGCAATGCTTTCCGCTGAGGATCTGTGATGCCGTTTTAATTGATTCTTTTCGCAAGCATCTTCCCAGGACCTTCTCTCCAGTAAATCCCTCTCTCTGGCAGTTTTTCTCCTTCCCTCTCTCTCTAACAGCCACACACCTACACACGGCGTCACACACATCGCGTTCAAAGTGGAGGGGAGGGAGATTAGGGAACCAAACAAACACACGTGCCCAAACACCCACCGACATAAAACAACAAAAAAAAACCATTAGTAGTGGAGAGGAAAAAAACTCAGTGAGCGCGGCAACCGATCATGGCACGTGGAGTGGGGGCGGCACATCTACTCATCGGCAACGCACATCTTCACGCGAGTGCGCAACTGGCAGGGTGAGGCACTGCACTGCGCTGAGTGGGCACAACGAAAAAAAAACATGGCGCGTGATAAGTGAAGAACAATACGAGCAAGAGATGGCGAGGAAGCGGAAGAGGAAGAGAGATACGAACGGAGAAGGGGGTTGGGGCAAGAGAGGTGATACTGAAATAACAATAACAACAACAACCTGAGTGGCGATACGCAACATCTGAAAGTATGCATGAATATTGAAATAGAAACAACAACAACACATCAAAATACACCAGACCAAGCAAAGGTCGGGGCACCAACGTAGCGAAGAGCACTTTGTCCCCACCCAACAGCCCTTATTGTCTTTTTTTTTTCCACCCCTCCACACGAAGACAACAGCAAACTTTCTTCGTCTCATATTCCCCTGCGTCTCCTGCCACGGGGCGGCTCCGTCTTCGTCTTTTAGACCTCCAGCTGAGGTGGAGAGAAGTAACGGACCGAAAAGCCCGCTGCGTGATGTGCGCGCTGACTCCTTTCCTTTGTGCCGGCGCTTGCGGCACCGCCCTCCGTGGCGGAGCCCCCACAACGGCACTCAGAGCTCGTGACGGCTGTTGGCACAATGAGCAAACAACAAGTACGCAAGCAAAACAAAACAAAAAGAAAACAGCACGAGAGGAACAACAGCAGCAAGCAGGCAAAGAAGAGCAGAGATCCCACACCCGACCCTGCCTCCGCTTGTTGCCCATCCCAAACCCCACGCTCTGCGGCATTCCTTCCTTCCCTCCGTCTCCTCCTCGCTGCTTCAGAGGGCCTAAAGGATGGCGCCGCCGAGGGTGCGTGGGGCAACAGGGACTTCTCTCCCCCCACCACACTCACACACTCGCAGATATGCAGACCGACCGAAAGAGAGTGAGGGAGAAACAGCTCGTCGGGCACATTCAAAGAGGGTGAAGAAAGGCAAGTAAAAGGTGGAAGACAAAAGAAACAGTGGAACTCGTTTCTTTTTAGCTTTCGCACTCTCCATATTGCACAGATATGAATGCTAACGCAAAACAACAAAAAATCAGTCTGATATCCACACGTTCCCGCTCTTATGCATTGACGAAAAATAACCTCCCCTTTCATATACACACAGACCGATAGTCACACATACACACCGACAAAAAGAGAGAGGGAGAGAGGGAGCGGCAAGTGCACAAAAAACAAAAGTTCTTGGACCACACACAACTCAGCCGTAAAGCCCTTTCATTGTGTCTAGTACGAGGCGGTAACATTCTTCTAATTCCATCCCCCCATTCGACTGCACGCGGATCACATCACAGATGGCCGCAAGGATTGTTTCACGCATGGACCTCGACATTTTCTTCTCGTCGAGAAAAACTAAGACACGCTCCCCCAGTTTCAGCCGCTCGGAGAGGTAATTCCAGAGCGGCAAAAATCCACCCTCTTCATCCTCCGGAGATTCCGTCACAACAAAGGAGCTATACAGAAGCCGGTAGGATGCCAGGCGCAGGATGGGGGCCAGCGAGCGCGGCCGCGTCGCCGACTCGAGGCCCAACCCGCTTTCGGGGCCTTGCGGCAGTGCGGCCTGCACAGAACGTCTCGCCTTCTCCGGTGTGGCCGCCACGGCAACGTCGCAGCCGCACTGCAGGTACTGCTCCATCTCCTCCGCCGTGATGATGCCGGGGTGAATCCAATCCTCAGTGTCCGCATAGACAACATGGCGGATGTTGAGGGTCTCGAGAATCGTCTGGGAAAGCAAGTTCATGTTCTTTGAGGTCACGAACAGAGGCAAATCGTGGCACAACTGGCGTGGGTAAATATCATTCCACACTACTACTATTGACGCCGCTTTCTGCACTATCCTTTCCCACTCTTCCATCAGCACAGGGGAGTCATCCAGCACTAACTCTAGATTAGGGCATGTGTGCAGCGCCTCCGGGAGGTGGGCTAACGGGTTGCCGCTGAGACGGATCTGCCGCAGGCATGGGTGGGAAAGTACAGACTTCCCCGCTTTGTCGGTGCCAATGCGCCTAATGCAGTTAAACTCGAGGGAAAGACGTTCCAAGACTCTTGCTTGGCCGAGGTCGGCGGGAATTTGTGTTATGCGGTTGTTTGAGAGATCCAACTTTTGCAGACGTGGTGCACTGAGTATTTCAACAGGAAACACAGTGAGTGCATTGTTGGTGATTCTCACCTCCCGAAGTGCTTGGAACTGCGAAAAATCGATATTTGCCACTGAAGAAATGCCATTGTTGGACAAGAAAAGCTCTGACGTCCGGGGTGCAGCATCGGCTAGGAAAGGAGGCAGCTCACGCAAGGGCAGGTTCACAATCTCCAACTGCCCTTTCTTTTGAGTTTCCAACAACATGGAGACGACTTGCAGCACATCTACATCATGTGTTATGGAGGGGGCATAGTCATCCTCATTTGAATTTTCCCCCGTAGTTGGATCCATTACCACATTGTTGGCGTTCACTCCCTTAAATCCAGAGACGACATTAGTCTTCAGAGCCCTGCGGCGCATCTTACGAATCACCCGCATCCCATGGAAGCACGTGTTCAGGCTTTTGCCGCGTAGCACTGACTGCATGGCTCGCTCGTAGAGTTTCGTCTGCGAGCCCTCTGAGCGGGTGTAGGTTCTAATTGCACTCGCTTGGTAATCACCATTCATGTTCATGCGAAAGAAGGGGTGGTGTGCCGCAGCTCGCAGCAGCATCCGCCTTGACAGGTCCTTCTCCAACATTTGCGCGAGGAGATCCCGCAACTCCGGGTCGCAGTTTGGCGCGAATGTAAATGGCGTGGGACTTAGAAGACTGGCACGTAGGCTTCCAACTGTTTCGGTGTTTACAGGCAGGACCCCATGTGACATTTGGTAGATCGTCATGGCGAACGCCCAGCTATCCACGACTTCACCCAAAACCCGCACCCCACGGTACTGCTCAGGGCACGAGTATGCTGGGGTTCCCTCAGGGCACTCGTTCTTCATCTGACTGGAGCAGGTGCCAAAATCAGCAATCTTTACAACATCATTGGCGTCCACGAGACAGTTGGCAGGTTTAATATCACGGTGGAAGAGATGTTCCTCATGCAGGTGTAGGAGGCCGATCATGATATCGCGACCGTATTTGCGCACCTTTTCTAACGGCAGGGGCTGGTTGCCTGGCGTGTACACCGGCCCATTCTTGCAGTACTCCATAATCACGTACACCTTCTGTGCCTCGACATCATCAATCACCTCTTTTAGTTTTACAAGATTCGGATGTGACACAAATTTCATGACGGCAATTTCACGCAATAGAACATCCTCGTTTCCAGGCTTTGCTAAAAGGGCCCGTTTGGCTTTATTCGTGGCGTTGTGACGCAAAATTTTTAAGGCATACAAGGTGTGAGCACGACGGTGCTGCACAAGGTTCACCTTGGCGTACGATCCCCTACCAAGCATTCTCACCACCACATATTCATTGATGACCTTATTGCCTTCGCTATTGCGGCTCTTGTTTACCAATGCGGAGTTCGACGCACCACTGCGAAGCGTACGCTGGAACGGCCTAAGTTCATGCTCATGCGCCGAGGCTCCACTCTTTTGGAAGCAGCCGCCACAAATCACAACGTTGCAATCATCACAGTTATACACGAGCTCCGTGTCAAGAATCACCCGACCACAGACTTCGCATGGGTCGTAGAAGAGACTACTGGCGCCCCCTTCCATCGTCCCTATACTGGAGCCGAATGACCGACTGACAGTAGACTGCATTTCATACAGGGCAGATATGGCGTGCGTCGGGTCGTGGTCAAACTTGTCACTGAATATGCAGTCGTCACATATATACATGTCCTCACATTGCTCGCACATGCGCGTCACCGCTGGACTGTGACAGTAGTAACACTCTTGTGGTTTGTTGTAGAATGTGGCGAGGTTCGGCACACCCTCCTCTGCATTGCTCAGTGCCCCACTGGAAAGAGCTCGGCTTGCCTCACCATCGCCGTTGGCAGATCGCACGTCGAAGTCATCGTCACTCTCGGCATGTGGGGTGCTGCGCCCATTGAAACCTCTACTGGACAACCTACCCACCGCGCTCTTTGGTGCGCTTAGCATGACGCTGCTTGTCGTTCTGATTGCAGCAGTGGAAGTATTGTCTGTCACGTTGGTGTTCATATGGGACACATCACTGGCGGCGCCATGGATCCTCGACAGACTTCTGCGACCGCGCATGGGCAACGTGGAATTGGTGCGA